TGCCATCTCAGTGCTTGAACATATTTCCTAGGCAGCCTTGGCAACCTGCACTGACGGCTGACGCTACTGGCCCAGAAGGCCCAGTAGAGTCTTGTCATTGCTTCCTGAGTATGGACGAGGTCACTGATGGAGAGCCCCCTGCCCCTCAGAAGTGGCTCACTTAGACACTCAGAGTCACTGTTTCTGTGCTTGCTCTGTGACCTTGGTCCAAAATTCAGCCTTTCTGAGCATCAGTTTTCTCATAACATGGAGTCAGGAAAACTTTTCTAATAAGATAAGTATGATAGATAGTTCTTGAACATGAAAAGCCTGGACTCCTATTCCAACTTTGCTCCTTAAGATTTGCTCATGGACAAAGTTCTTAATTTTTATGTTTTCTTTTTTATCTTTTGTAAAGTGGTTATAATACCATAGGGCCTTATCTTGTAGAATAGTTGTGAAGGTCAAATGCAGTAAGGCCGCCAAAGCAGATAGCATAGTGCCTGTGACATGTAAGAGCTCAGACAGTTACTTTATTACTAAGGCTGGTACTGAGTTGACTGTTGAATTTAGAGGCTCTAGAAAGACTGCAGAATTAGGCCATCTGTCCTTGAGTTTCAGTCCTACTGGTACTTTGCTTTGGAGTCAGCAGGTGGCGACATTGCCACATCCTGGCACTGCTGGCCTCCATCTGCAGCCTCTAGAAAATGGTTAGAAATTCAGTTCCTTCGTGTGGCACTACTCAGTTGCTACACTTGTCCTGTATACCTTGCAAGATATGGGTTTCCATAAACAACTAGAGCCAGTTGGATGACTGGATGGCCTCTCCTGCAGATAATTCCCGTGCCAGAGACTCCGTCTTGGCCTTTTAGGTTCACAGTAGTAGCTCTTGCTTTCATGCCCAGTACTACATGTTCCTTGCTGCGGGCTGTAACCAGCTACCTAATGCAGGGTCATCATGCAGCCAGGGTGGTGTGGACTAGAACGTGGGGCTTCTGAGGCACTGAACTTCAAGGGCACTGAAGTTCAAGTTGAGCAGGACCTCGAATTAGCATTTCTTATCCACTGCTGCAATGTTGAGCTAAATTAAGAGTGCGGTTCCAAAACAAAGTTAGGTTTGTTTTGTATATATGAGTCTGAGTCCAGTCTTGAATCCGGATGTGAGATGCTATGGCCTGGTGAACATCTAGAAACAGCCAAGTCAACATGGTAATAAATTGGGAGGGGGGAGAGGGAGGGAAGATTGTTTCATCAATGGATGAGCAAGCTGAGAGTAATTTTTGAGTCAGCATTTCAGTTCTGTGATCCAGGGTGATGATATGGGCCAGACAGTTTATCAGCCACCTCTTGTTTGTAGTGCTTCGGAGTACTTGAAGGATAAAATAGAGAAGCCAGCCAAAGGAGGCGTTAGGATTGCATTAAACAGTATGATTTTTTTAAAAAATTTCTATTGAACTGGCATGATTTAAATGTGCTAACTTGAGTGACCATTTCTGTTGATTTGAAAACTGTAATATTGGTTAGTCTTTATGATGTTAAATTGTAAAAAGGCCGGAGAGAAATGGATTGGTGTAGTAAGAGTACTTAACCTGCTGGGTTTCCAGAATGTGCCACAAGGTGGCGCCAAAAAACTAGCTTAGCCCCTTGAGGAAGTTGTGGGGACACTTAAGAGTTCCAAATCATGTAACAGGCAGGTCTTTGGTAAAAGCTCAAAATTACCCTTATTTCCTGTCTTGTTGACTTTTTTCTAGGAAACTGAAGGCCAGAGAGGTAATCATTTTCCCACATATCAATATAAATCAACATGTTAATCTGATCTGAAAATTATTCAGCTGTTCAGTTAATTCTTTGGAGTTTTTCTCAAATAGCTACTTTCTTGCATTTAGTGGAAATTTTACTAAAATGACATGAGATTTAAAGCTTTTCATTGGGAAAAAAATGCTCGGGTCACTTTCCATTAGATTTCTTAGTAAAGTGTCATCTGTTGCTGATAATTTAAATACTATTTATCCCTTAGGAAGTATCAGCCCGGGGAAGCCTTCCTAACAATTTCAGATATTCAATTTTTAACTAACAGATTAGTCTTGTTCTCATTTGTGTTTATTAGTCATTAAATTAGATTAAGTCTAGATGATAGGACCAGGTTTTTTTTTTTTTTTTATCTCTGTTTAATCCCTGAAGACAAGGAATGTTAAGTTATTCCTACCTTTGAATTGCTTATTTATATTTACACACATATGAATGACATTCGGATTTCATAAACTTAACATGAGACTAACTTTTCATGATATTCCAGATTCCTCTATCTGTGATCCCTTACAGCTCTGTAATTTTAGTGGCACAGGAAAGAAAATCTCTCGTTTCATTATCAAATGGAGTAATGATGATAAATCATTACAAAAGGGCTGTACAGAATATTTTCTATCTCATTTAGTAGAGAATTTGAAATTGGTTAGAAAATACTTTCTACAGCCACATTTGCTTATTTTTAGGTTTGGTTTTCTACTTAAGCTAATAAAAGTAACTTCATGTGCTAATTTGTTATTGAAATTGTCCGCAATAAAGGTGATATCATCCAAAAAGGTGACTCACACTTTGGTTGTTTCTGGACTATAGAGGTCTTCAAATGTTTGTTGAATGTTTGTTTTTCAGTAATTTTAGGTTTTTAAAAATAATTAG